CCTAGAGAGTTCACCAGAGTCAATGCAATTTTATTCATTTTACAGATTTGGTCACCTTCTTATTCCATAAACTAGCAGGGATTACAACTAACAAAACAAAAAAAAAGCACAGTCCAGAAAATACTACCATAATATTTGAAATGTATCAAAGATGACAACAAGTGTATATCAGACCAAGATGCCTTATCTATCCTTGCCACTTTGCTAGGCCAGCCTGCCCACAGTTTACCTTTCCTGGTATATTTTGATTCTCATCTATCATATCCAATCTCATTTCTATTAATTCATGTACTAATCTTTTTGTTGTTGTTAGGTTAAGTATAAAACAACCCCCTGTCCTGGCAGGTTGGTCCTGATAAGAAGCTGCTATCTTTAGAACCAGTTTTCATTTCTCTGAATCATAGCCATGCACTATTATACAATGCATAGCTATCAATAATACTTAGTGCTTCAGACCCTTCCTCATGCTTTATCTATTTTTACAAATTATTATTTTATGATACTGAACAACCCTGTAGGCTACTCTTCTTAATTCCTTCTGTTTCCTCTCTAAATGTCTTCAAATGTCCTTTTATTTATAGCAATTATTTATAGACATTTATCAGTCCTGGTTTGGGGCTCCTTGGCTGGAATGCAATGTATTCAGGCTATTGTGCATCATGGAAAACAAGTTCCTTTTTTTAAATGCAATTCTCAAGCAATTTTCCCAACCACTGCAGTTAAGATTTTACCCCACTGGGCTTGCAGCACATTGTTACAAGTCATATAATGTCAAATGTGCTTAAAATAATTTCTGTTAAATGCCTCCAGCAAGTGAAATGAAATGGTTGCCAAGTTCATTTAACCAGCCTTCACTTTCCAACCTTCAAAGAGTGAGACACCCAAATGTTTCTGCCTACCTATGTAAACCATGAGATTACAGTCACTCCCATTAACGTACTCAGGTAAGTCTGCAGCAGGACACAGATCCTAAACCCTAGAGTTGGCAGGTGGATAGATCAGAAATCTGTAGGAAATAAACTGGGTCACAACTTACAAAACAAAACCGTGAGAAATCAGCAGTAGAGTTAACACAAAACCCATTACAGTCAGTAGAAAAACTGCCATAGGTGTCACTCAATCAGGCTCAACTATAATTTTTCTGGTGACTATATATGCTGACTTCAGTCTCATACAGAAATTAGAGACTTTATAAATAAAAAACAAGCAAACCTTTTCCCTTCTGGGTTTTTTTTTTTTTTTTTTTAATATAAATAGCCTCCAAATTTGCAGTTTGTCCAGGAAAAGACCTCCTAAGTCTGAAAACATCTGTGGTCACCTTCACACACACACACAAAAGGTGAATAGCCTTAGTAACACAGAAAATGTATTAAAACATCACCAAAACATATCCTCACTGGGACTATGCACAAGAGTTTCCTTAATTAGTCATAGACGGATTAAATAAATACAACAATTATACACTATCTCCATGTTTTCTTTTGTTTTCTTCTACTTGTTCCTATCTCCAATGGCAGAGAAAAGAGGGTCCTTAAAAGGGGCTTGGCACAACATTTCATTGTAATTTCTGTGTGTTTCCCCAATTAAGGAACTAAACCTTCAAATCATTAAGGAAAAAAGTCATTTTGGAAAGCAATAAAAAGCTGGAACATGTGCCTTACAGCAACATCAAGGAAGCCCAAGATAAACATTCACTTAAATATTAAAATTAAGATTTATATATTTAAATTTGTGATGCTGTCCTCAAGATTTATTTATTGGTAAACCTCTGGTATTTCTGATGAATAATAGACAATGTGCAAGTGCAATGTTAGAGTCAATAAATAAGTGGAAAGTCACTAGAAAATTCCATTGGGTTTGTGACTACTAAAATTATGGCCCCACAGGAAAACACACAGGAACCCAACAATGAATGATTTAAAGCAAGATAATATCATCTGAATCCCTTAACAAGGCCTCAAAATCCTTCAGGCAAGCTTCACAGTCCAGTATATCTATATCTTTCTCTACATAATTATACATCTCACATCATTGAATTACTGGAATCCATGGACATTTACACTTTGACCCAGTGATCATGAAGACAGATCCAAGATACCTATCAGACCATTTTTTATTTTTCAGCAGAAGACTATTTCACTGAGTGGGTTTGATTCAGAGCTTGAATGAAGATGAAGGTGGTTGTGATAGGGAACAAGGTTGTGCATATATGCAAAACCTTTCTTTTGGAACTTCAAAAAAAAATACAACAATACAGTTTTAATACAAAAAGAAGGAATCAGGAATCATACATGCAAACACACGCACATAAAGGTTTCTATCCAGCTGTGCAGTGCAACTATTGATTGGGAGCAGCAAGACAGCAAAACCTGATGAATAATTTCTAGATATATGCCATAAAATTTGAAGAACTATGGAAAACAGATGTAAACAACGTGAAATCTTGGTTGACTGGAAGCCATCTGCATAGAGAACTATGACAGATTCTAGCTAACATTGATTCTACAGGTTCACTTTTGCACAAAATAATTTTGCAAGTATTGGTGTTCTTGACACCAGGAAAAATGAGGTTATGAAGTTTAATGGGATGAATACCTGGGGGAAAGAGGGAAAGGATAAGAAAAAGATAAAGTTGAGAAAAATTATTCAAACTTTGATTAACAGGTAAGACAATCAAAAAGCCAAACGCTACATGGATAATTACCAAAGTGCAGCAAGAGAAAATGGATGAAAACAATTACAGAAGAATTCACTGGAAGTTGGACTGAAAAACACATCCACTGAATCAGAAGCACAAACTCGAATATATGTAGTGAAAAAAATGAAAAGCAAGGATAGTTTATAGATGAGAAAAAATAGGGAACCACCAGTTAAAAAAAAAAAAAAAATCCTTGCAGAGAAAAGAAACTTGGTATAGAGTTTGAGTAAAGAACATATAGCAGATAACAGTTAAATATTGTCCCATGGCCTGGAATTAACAAAGCTAAACATTAGACTAAATATTTTTGGGGAAGGGCATGTGGTACATAAGTAGTGTAAACTTCTGCTTGGATGGAGAGAGACAAGACCACTGAAAGACTTGCATGAACTCACAGCTCATATCCAGAGTTCATATACTACCAGCAGGATTAAAGCTTAAACACTGCAGAGTTTGAGCTGTTTGACACCACTTTCTTTTACTGAAATACTGGATTTAGGGGCTTTGAATCTACTAAACCTACACCATCCTACTCAGTGGTCTAGGAATGTGTATCTAAACGGGCATGACAAGAAGATGCGGTAGTTTAAATGAAAATGTAATAAAGTCGGTCCCTTGAGCCGATCAGATAGTCACACTGCTACATATTATTGACCGTGCAAAGGAATCTCTGACTTTTGTTAGCAATATATTCTTAGTTAATTATGAAACTGGTTACAACACAGGGGGAATGGGAAGTGGGGCAGTCTAAGGAAGTTTCTTTTGAATTCTTAATAAACGATCAATATCTGAAATAATTTAAGAATGCACTAGAGACCTACAACAGGAAAAGAGTTAGTGTTCCACTTGCAGCCATACTCACAAATATGAAACACATTTCTCATCTGAATGAAAAGATTGTCAATAGGTTCATTACATGCTTGTCACAAGTAAGGTAAACGAACATTTACCTGAAAACTCCTTTTAATCTGATGAAGGAGCAGCTCATAATGCATTTCATGCCTACAGCTTTTCAAACAATAGCAACTATATGTAAAAATGCAAAACTCACTAAAAAGGTTACATGATTTCTAGAAACTACATAAATAACAAAATAAGGACAAAGAATAACTTCTAGTCCTATCAATATGTAATACAAGGAAGCGAAAGGTAATGTCTATCCTTGTTCAGAGTAAACAAAGCACATGTCACCACATTAAGCTTCAATGAATATTAAATATTCATAAAAATATACTTGATTCCAGCTCTCATCTCAAAATATTTCAGTATGCCTATACAGCCAAAACCTTATGTCTGTACTCACAGCTTTAACTGTATGAGGAGGATAAGGCCTTGTATTCAATGATGTATAGAAAGATGTACAAATATATAACGCACAACTCTGATCTCAATTAAATCACTGTCACTCCACTGATATTAATAGGAGCTTCTACTGTTTTAGATTTCTTTCACCAAGATCCAGGTTAACTCCATAACATAATCTGATCATACAATTACCACTTACAAATGCAGTGGAGATACCTCTCAAGTGGAATGCAGCAAATGTTTAATAACTCACAACAAAATTGCACAACAGCTGATGACAACAGTTGAAGAAAACTAATTCAGCCTTCACCTGCGGAAGAGTTTAGCTAGGATAGTTGTACCCAAATTGAAATTTGGAACAATATCTTATTCTTATAGAATTTCATCATCAAAGTCAACAGTGAATTTAATCAGAACATTTTCATTACTAACTTTAATTCTCAAAGTGTGTTTTTATTTTGCTGCAATTGTTGTATCTGCATTTACACAAGTAACATTGTTCAGTATTTCAATCTGCCCTACAAGATTAGCATATTCATAATGCACTTTCCATTTATTCCTATTATTTACCTAGCCTTATGCTATATAAAGATATAAAAATGAGCCTTCCAGCAGCTAACCTTACAGGCAAAAAGGTGGAATTCCAACTCTGAGCAGAAACTGTACATGTTATTTGGTCTGAATCTTAATCATATCCTAGGGGTTGTCTTCGTTGATTCCAGGTATGAATAAAAAACTGTAAACCTAAATCGAAGCTTTCATTCCAAACTATGTTATTTTACTTTTTCTTTTTTTCTTTTTAACTGCAGAGACTTGACTGTTTTTCAGAAATCATTACCTGCTGTCCTAAAGGGCTGCTCCCACATATTTATGCAGGGGAAGGATTCAGTGAGCCACAAAATCAGCAAGAAAAGTTGTACAATGTGATAATAATGCAGTTATCAACACAGAATTTGTTCAGACATTACTTATAGAGATACGATTGGCATGGACTTACCTGTAGGGGATCCCTCCATGACATGACCAACGTAGGGTCCTTCTTTGAACATTGGCCTGTTATCATTTTGATCAATAACAGAAATATCTAGGCGGACTGGACCATCAATGGTTTTTCCACTTACATCTGTGACCTCAACTTCAAGCTGTATGAACAAAAAGAGAGGAGTAAACTCATTAGTTCACTATCACAGTGAGCAAAGAGTAAGAAAAAAATAGCTCAGATCAGTGTTGCTGCAAACAGACTCTGCCAAGGATACCACTTACAGCCCATTCTTTTGGACTAGGCTCAGAGCAGATTTTCAATCCAAGCAAAAGAGACAGACAGATGTACATTCAAATCAAGATACCCCTTGGCAGCTTGAAAATACCATATTTTCTGAAGAATGAAATGTCTAGAGTATAAGAAAAAAAGACCCTCTGTAAATCTGATACTAAACATTTGAAGATTTGGTTAGAATTTGTTCCTTTACTTTTTTCAAGCACATTTAAAATGGACACATATAGAACCATCATAATATAATTAACATATCTCCTAATGCTCAGTTAAAAGCCTCTTTTTTTTTTTCTTCAAAAAATAAAGGCAAGAATGCATTAGACATTAAATACATTTTTCTCAATGATGATGGCATGAAATTATGTTAGGCAATCTTGACAGTTCTCCAGCTTTTCTAATAAGGTACGGAAGGACAGAACAACATATGCAGTCTTATATAAGCAGGTATATATACATACGCACGCTCACATCCCAGTGTATGAAAGCACCTGTTAGACATAAAGCCGACATATGCAGTTGAAGATTTGTGTGGACTTCCTTTACTTCCCAAAACTGGAAAGAAAGATCATACTGTATCTCTCAGTCCTCCAATCCACTTGCAATGGAAAGTCACGAGTTACCAAAACTTAATCAGTCATTAGGGCAAATGATGCCAAAACTTCTCAGATAACAGAAAAGGTCAATTTACATTGCAACTGCATGTTATACCTGCAGTTGTCTCCCCTCACCAAGATATCAGTAAAATACAGCAATAAACATATTGGAGACACAGCTATCATTTTCACCTACCCTAACCATCCCGGGACTCAACTCTTTAATGGAGTTAAGCCAGCCAGAAAATGAAACTGAGCACAGACATTAATATCACTCTCTTCCAGTTTTTCCCCAAGAAAGTGGTAACAGAAGGGGCTGGAAGTCTCTCAGCATTTTGTTTATTCTGTTAATTTATTCTTCATTGCCATGTCTTATACCTATAAGTTATTTAAAAGTTAGTGATAAATCCTGCTGGGAAAGAATTAGGTCAGAATTCTAATTCCTTATTAAAATGGATGGCTTATTATCACATCTCTCTGTACTTTGTTATGCTTATAAATACATTCCACTGTTATAATTCAATGTGCTAGGTGTGAGTAGGAGTATTTGTTATCAGTAAACTATCTACTCACATACACGATTTGTAAATAACGTCACAGTCCATTTTAACATCTACTCACTGCTTATCCTCACTTGTCTAGCACTTGCTCTTGCAAGCCTTTCCTAAGCCTTATTTTTTACTATATATAGAGAAAGATAAGATATATAGCTTAACAGCTTAAAAGCAGACAAATACTCTGATGCGAAGACAACTGATTCATGTGCCATTGGCACAGCTGAAGCTTTATGGGGGCACATGCCTCAGGGCTTGTTTAACTCTGTACTCTAAAGTTAACGTAGTAATCTTAGGATTGCATATGATGGGATGGGGACTAGGAAGGAAAATGCAGTCTTATTACTGAACTACAATAAAGCTAGATACAGTTTTAGATACAGTTGGAAACTGCTGACAAAAAGAATCACAGAATAGTTTGGGTTGGAAGGGACCTTTAAAGGTCATCTAGTCCAACCCCCCTTGCCACGAGCAGGGACATCTCCAACCAGATCGGGTTGCTCAGAGCTCCATCCAACCTGACCTCAAATGTTTCCAGGGATGGGGCATCTACCACCTCTCCGAGCAACCTGCTCCACTGCTTCACCACCCTCATCGTAACAAATTTCTTCCTTATACTTAGTCTGAATGTCCCCTCTTTTAGTTTAAAGCCATTAGCCCTTGTCCTATCACAACAGGCCCTGCTAAATTTTGACCCCATCTTTCTTATCAGTCCCCCTTAAGTACTGGAAGGCTGCAATAAGGTCTCCCCGGAGCCTTCTCTTCTCCAGGCTGAATAACCCCAACCCTCTCAGCCTTTCCTCATAGGAGAGGTGTTCCAGCCCTCTGATCATTTTTGTGGCCCTCCTCTGGACCCGCTCCAACAGGTCCATGTCTTTCCTGTGCTGAGGGCTCCAGAGCTGGACTCTTTATCTTAGTAAATGTTGACTCATCAAAAGTATGTTAATTGCTTTGGGAAATGGAAGAATAGCAATATTTCTCTGTGAAATTCCAGCAAATTCATTTTCAAATTCAAGATAATTTTTTCTTAATCTATCTCTCAATATTAAGTGACTATATTGCTCACTGGAAAGAACAAAGGTTTTGCTAAATTTAAAAAAACTACTTCAGCTGCTTTATCAAAATTGTAAGTCATCTAAAGCAAAGGCTGATGTAACACTAGGGGTTTTTTTTCCAGACTTGCACAAATTAAGGAAGAGATTAGGAGATTCTTATTAATGTCTGAAATAGATTTTACTTTATCATTGCCAAGTCCACTGCATCTGAGACCAAGTGGTCAAAAAAGTAGTAATGACAGGTCTGTAGGAACAGTTACACAATCTCTGCTTCATTTTATTAAGACGACAGAGGACTTTATTTTATTAGTCTTTGTACAATAATTTCCAGGCTTGTCCTGAGCATTATGGGTTAACTCACCAGCTCCTTTTAAACCCACTCTTCTACAGTGTTTTAAAAATAAAAGCCTGCAGCACCGAAATTATGACCATTTATCTTTACACGACTAGTATGTGAAAGAAACTGCCTTATATCTTATCTTGCCCAACCAAAAAAACCCCACCAAAAAATCCATAAAGCCCCACTGCCCACAAAACAAAAAAAACAACCAAGCTAAGAATCAACAAAACAGCAACAAAAGTATAATGTTACTTAAAAAACTGAATGCATGCAAGAGAAAGCATTCAAGTAAAAGAGAGTATTGGCACAAAAAACACATTACTTTGAACAGGCTGTAAATAAAAACAGGTGGAAAATTAGATTGTGCCTAACTATCAGAAGAGTGAGACTTCAGTCTTTCAATAAAGAAGAAAGGCAGGAAAACCTATCTGGTTTTAATGTAAAACTTGACCGATGTATGAAAGATACTGCATTCATTCTTTTGATAGCAAGAGATTGTAATTGAACATTCAGAAAGTATCGAAGTTCCTACCTGATTGTAACAACATAGCTCTAAGAAAAAGCAGTGAGCATAAAGACAGATTTGGACAAATTGACCAAAAAAAAAAATCTTCAGAGCTCTGTAGCTATTTATTATGTGAAAACCTGGTAAGATTGACTATGCTTTCAGTGTTGCAACTTAAAAGTTATGGAATTACGCTCGTAATGATGAAGTTATGTTCATCATAAATCTAACCAATCATATTTTCAGGAACACTTGAGGCTAATTCCTAATTTCATTTTTGACAAAAGTATACATGCAAACTACGAAGGATAAACAAGGGTTTGTGGGAACTGTTACACTTCACAACACAAGTCTCCATGATAGGATACAAGGCAGACTTTGGCTATTGCTTCTAATACAGCTGAGAAACACTGATAAAATTAAGCACACCAATAAAACAGGGAAAAGCAATATAAAACTGAAAACGGCAGGCAGTAATAGATTTTAGCCTGTTTGTCTAGACTAACTCTTGTTCAATACTCTCTCTTCTCAAAAGGGACTTCTTGACATCCCATCCAAATTCCCTCACCATATCTGCAGTGAGGATCTTTCCTGTCACCCCAAATATAGTGATATTACGAGAAGTTTAGTAAGCTTATTCAAAGCTGCACAAACCTGTTTTAAGCACTCTGCTTTATTTTATAGAGTCTTGATTCCCTTCCACCCTGCAGTCAGCAACAACATTTACAGGAAAAGATAACCGGTCTCATTCTTACCATTACTTAAAGAAACTTCAAAGGTTTCTCTGCACAGAACGGTTGTTTTCATTCAATTATTGTGTTTGGTGAAACAATTCTGGATAGCCACCTTCCTTCTCTGCATATAAATGTCTATTTTTACTTTGCAGCCAGCCAGCCAGCCAGCCAATTGCCCCCACAAAATTACATCATAAATTTAAAGTTTTTTCAGAAGTAAATCTGGAATATCTTTTAGTCCTTAATTACCTGCGAAGACTAATACAGGTTCTTTAGTCATTAACTGCCTTCTAATTTTAATTTCCAATTTGTTGCTGATAAGAATGTTTCTGAGCCCAGCAGTGATACTGGTGGAACATTTGAGAAACCATGTATAAGAAAGGGCAAAATGCTGCATGGGTGGTTTGTCTTCATCTCCACCCATGAGCTTTTCATCCCGCTGCTCCAACCCCCCCGAGGTCAACCCACCCACGGCAGGAAAAGCAGAGAAGTAAAATGTGACCAAGACAGAGGAAAGCTGCGTCATCCTGGAACTGGGGTACACTCAAATGTCTGAAAGGAGCACTGTACCATTACAAAAAACTGCTATACCACCACCTGCCGCGATCTCAGTTATTTTGGGACATCTATAGGTACAGATCACTGCTGGCTTGCTTTATTCCTAGCTTGATTAGAATTATTATTGCAAACACTTGTTAGGTTTATTTATCATCAATTTTTAAGTGCGGATTGACAGTAAAGAAAGGCAACGGACTTACAGATCTTTCATGTAGACAATTTCCTGGTAAGAAAAAAAACATTTGGCCATCTCTGGGTCATTAAAAGCAGTAAAGAAATTCCCTGTATAGTGAAAGGTTTTAGTAAAAATTTGATGCAATTACCTTAAACAACTCAGAGAAGACAATAATTCAGACTCACAGAAATAAATTAAATTTTCCTGGTTTAAGAATGTGAATAAAACATTAGCTAATTTTTATATGGCACAAGAAGAGGTGGAGGGAGAGGATATAAACCCAAAATACACTGTTTCTAATAGGTATGCATAATTCTATCTCACTACTTGATGACAGGGTATCGATTACCTCAGC